CACGAGTACTGTGTTAGATACTAAGCTATACAATATGTGAATACAAGGATAAATTAGATATATTATCTCCCTATCATGAAGTAATTCATAACCCAGTGGAAGAGAGAAGATTTGGACTTGAATACCTAAGCATATAAAGTAATGCTATGTGTAATAAATGTTATTTGGATATCAAAAAGAGGCCATTATTTCTAGATGGAGTACTCCAAAAAGAATTTGTGAGAGCATGATTATCTGTGCCGACCTTTGAGAGACACATAAAAATCAGTTAGGGTAAACTATACAATGAGTCTTTCTAATAGGGACAAAGTATGTACAGGAAAAAAATAAATGAAGGGCAATAGTGTTTGTGGATTGGCAATTAGACTAGCTTGGCAAGAGTCTAGGTTATGTGTAAGGATATGACAATAGAAAACTAAGTCCCCATCTGATGTGTGAGGAGCTTATAGTATTGGTTGTTGCTTTTTGTCTTTTTGCTTTTTATTTTCTAAGCAGACAATGGGAGTCACTGGAGAAATTATGGGTAAATGCCATTTTTAATTGCTTTGGGAAGAAATCAGGCAAACAGGATGTATGAGTCTGAAAGATGCTAGAGACAACTAATATGAAGGACGAAGCTGTGTAGACAGTTTAGATGTGAGGTCATATGAAGAGAATAACGTATGACTGTTGGGATGGAAGAGTAACCAGGGATTTACAAGATATTGAGAAAGAAAAATCAATGGGATACAGGATTTACTGGATGAGGAAATTACATATGGAACAGAAAGGCCCCATAAAGCTTCGGAAGCACAGTGATTTTCTTTCTTTTTTTCTAAAGAAAGCTATAGAAGACTGTCTCGGATAGAACTTAGTTACAAGAGTAAAAAGTTGCTAGAGGGGGATGAAAGAGGCAGCTAAGGGCACAGTGTCTGTCTACGAAGTGAAAGGTGTGAAAGAAAAACGACAATAGCTTCGAAGAGTATCACAGCTACCAGCATAATGATTAGGAGCACAGAACACTGAAATCAGACCTGAGTCCAAATTCTGACTCTCCCACTTGTAGCTGTGTGACTCCAAGCTAGCTACTTACATTTTCTAGGCTTCATTCCTGTCATCAGTAAATCAGGTATAATAACAGAGTCCCTAGTTTGAGCTGTTGGCATTCACTATAAGTGCCATGTAAGCTTTTGCATTTATTATAGTAAAACTGAGAGTAAGAAGGAGTTTTCAAGTTATGTGACTGAAGTGTATTGAATGAGTGCCTACCACATGCCAGGAGTTGTTCTGGGTATTGGGGAGACAAAGAGTTCAGATCTGGCAAAAGCCCTGCCCTCATGAAGATTATATTACAATAGGGAAGACAAACAATAGATAAACACAAACATGGTAGTGGAATGGTGATACTTACTAATAAAGAGCTATAAAGAAGAACTAAGAGCATAGAGGGTGACCAGAGATGCTATATAGGCAGTGGTCAGACCACTTATAAAGGTGGCAGTCCAACAGAGACCCAAATGAACTGAGAGATAAGCTATGCAATTATCTATGGAAAGAGATTCCAGGCAAAGAGAACAGCTGGTAGGATGTGCTTATTAAACAAGGAGGGGAGAGGCAGGATACATAGTTGTAACAGATCACAGAAATCTGTAGCAGATGAAGTGAGGAATAAACCCAGAAGCTAGATCACATGGGGTCTTGTACAACATAGAAAAATTACCAGATTTTGTTCTGCATGTGATGGGAAGTCACAGAAGGGAAAGATGATCTAATTCATATATTGAAGGACTAAAGTATAGACAACTGATTATCAGCTAGGTTTGAAACAGAAATCTTTCTTTTCCGTAATTCCCGCTTCTCATCTCCAAATCACTGTGCTACTTCCTCATTTCTATATATGGTACTACTGTTCATCCACTTGTAGGGGAAGTACCAAAAAAAAAAAAATCCAAATAAAACAGAGACTAGGTATAAGTTACTGCCATAGTTTAGTGATCTGTAAGAGGTAGAGGTGGCTTGGTAAAGGCAAAGCAGTTAAGATGAAAAGCCAAGTTTGGGAACTACAGGATTCAAAGAAATACTAGATGTGAAAAAGTCTAAATAGAGAAGCATGAATCTTGAGTTTCTGACCACAATGAATGGTCAGACAAACATTGGGGAAGTTGAGTTGACAACTGATAAGGAAGTTGACATGGCTTCCAGAAAGGGATTTAGACTAAAGATACATTTTGGGAGTCAGCAGTATGTAAGTAGCATTAAGATTATTGGTGCCAAATAACCTTATCTAAGATGATGGTGTAGACAAAAGAAGAACCCTTACCTGGGAGAGAAGAAATGGTAACAAGGGAAGTCACTGCCTCAGAGAGAAGCACAAACATATTAACTAGATTTTATGAAAGGATAAGGAATTATTTTTGAGAGAGAGAGATTTTTGCTATAGAGCATGTGCACTTGCTGGAGAGACAGAAAGTGAGAAATTACCCTCAAGGGGGATGGCCATATTTCAATCCCTCCTCCTCTATTCTCCTTTCAGGATTTTTGGATGCACACACATGTGCCTGACATGAGTTTTAAGTTGCCAGGTCCAGGACTCAAATCACAGTCACCTACATGGGAGTCCAGCAATGTAACCATTATACCACCCAAGGATCCTATTTTTGAATGTTTTCCTTTTCTAGGTGATGAAAGAAGAAAGACTACTAACAAGGGATAGAAAGGGAGAGAGATATTAAAATCTGAAAAATAAGAACAATTATAAAATGGTCATTCACCATATGAAGTGAAACAATGAACCACAAGAGAAATGCAATGGCATTTCCAAGTGCACAAGAGAGCTCACCCTGGACTTGTGAACCGAGGGGAGAGGCAGGATACATAGTTGTAACAGATCACAGAAATCTGTAGCAGATGAAGTGAGGAATAAACCCAGAAGCTAGATCACATGGGGTCTTGTACAACATAGAAAAATTACCAGATTTTGTTCTGCATGTGATGGGAAGTCACAGAAGGGAAAGATGATCTAATTCATATATTGAAGGACTAAAGTATAGACAACTGATTATCAGCTAGGTTTGAAACAGAAATCTTTCTTTTCCGTAATTCCCGCTTCTCATCTCCAAATCACTGTGCTACTTCCTCATTTCTATATATGGTACTACTGTTCATCCACTTGTAGGGGAAGTACCAAAAAAAAAAAAATCCAAATAAAACAGAGACTAGGTATAAGTTACTGCCATAGTTTAGTGATCTGTAAGAGGTAGAGGTGGCTTGGTAAAGGCAAAGCAGTTAAGATGAAAAGCCAAGTTTGGGAACTACAGGATTCAAAGAAATACTAGATGTGAAAAAGTCTAAATAGAGAAGCATGAATCTTGAGTTTCTGACCACAATGAATGGTCAGACAAACATTGGGGAAGTTGAGTTGACAACTGATAAGGAAGTTGACATGGCTTCCAGAAAGGGATTTAGACTAAAGATACATTTTGGGAGTCAGCAGTATGTAAGTAGCATTAAGATTATTGGTGCCAAATAACCTTATCTAAGATGATGGTGTAGACAAAAGAAGAACCCTTACCTGGGAGAGAAGAAATGGTAACAAGGGAAGTCACTGCCTCAGAGAGAAGCACAAACATATTAACTAGATTTTATGAAAGGATAAGGAATTATTTTTGAGAGAGAGAGATTTTTGCTATAGAGCATGTGCACTTGCTGGAGAGACAGAAAGTGAGAAATTACCCTCAAGGGGGATGGCCATATTTCAATCCCTCCTCCTCTATTCTCCTTTCAGGATTTTTGGATGCACACACATGTGCCTGACATGAGTTTTAAGTTGCCAGGTCCAGGACTCAAATCACAGTCACCTACATGGGAGTCCAGCAATGTAACCATTATACCACCCAAGGATCCTATTTTTGAATGTTTTCCTTTTCTAGGTGATGAAAGAAGAAAGACTACTAACAAGGGATAGAAAGGGAGAGAGATATTAAAATCTGAAAAATAAGAACAATTATAAAATGGTCATTCACCATATGAAGTGAAACAATGAACCACAAGAGAAATGCAATGGCATTTCCAAGTGCACAAGAGAGCTCACCCTGGACTTGTGAACCTAAATACCATAAGTATTTAGTGTAAGTATTCTCCAGACACATGCAGCTGTTAGGGCACAGGGTAAGCACTGGTGAAGTTGCTGACTTATCCAAGGATGGATGAGTCTGGTTCAGGTACATGTGATGGGGAAGGAGGGCCATGAGAGATGGAAGATAATGCATGATTATGGATTTAAAGTTGAGTTTGGATCCCAACAGAACTGAAGAATTATTAGCAAGGGGGCAATAAAATAACTGAGCAGGAAACTAGTAAGGTGTTAGAAAGTGGGTTATTATAAAAACCATCATTTTGTATTGGTTTGGCATGACATGGAATGAATGAATTAAGGTGGGAAGAAGCCAATATTATTGCAGATAATATAAAGGAATAACAGTTCAAGGTATCAGATGGATTATCTGCATGAATATTATAATTACCAAGATTGATCATAGACTTAATTGGAAAGGAAGTGATCCCCAAATGTTAATATCTTCAGTGAATACGGGAGGATGACAGAAAACTTCAACAAGAAGGGGGTAGCAAATATCTAACAACACTTGCTTCAAGACGGCAAGATTACTTAAGTGTAAAAATTGAACCTATTTTTTTTTAAAGCTATGAAGATAGTATTAGAATAAGAGCAGTAATACTATTAGAAATTTCAATTGTTACATAAATTCATATGTTTTCCAATCTCTTAAATATGTAGCCATCTGTTTTCCAACACAGACCATTTGATTATATACACAAAATATAGCAATTACAGAGAAGATGCTGACATCTAATTATAAATGATCTGGTTTTAGTCATTCTTCATTATTTCTATTTGCTCAGAAAGTTCAAGGAAAACTAATTATTTTTGATAATTTGATATTTTATAGAAAAGATACAAACAGAAGGCATTTCATTTCACTGTGGTGCCAGCCTTTACTCACCAGGGTTGTTGGACTGGGCATCCATAGGGATCATGAGCTTGGCTCGGGTGGCTCGCCGTGCAGCCAGTGACCTCTCCAGAGTGGACAGGGAGCTCCCTGCTTCCTCAGTGTCTTGACCTAGAAATAATACTCTTGAGAAAAGTACCTTCTTCAATGATGCAACACTGTATACATTTATAGTTAGGCATTCATTTGTCTTTTTTGTCTTACAGATGTCTGAAATACTAGTATCTACTTTCTGGTTACCCCAGTAATACACTGTTATTGTACAAACATTAATCAAGTGAACCATAACCTCATTACTCACAAAGAGCCACTATTTATGGAGTGATACTTATAATTTTGACATATTGTGTGTATATGGGAAAGGGGAAAGGTATACATTAATATATTAATTTTGCAAAAATGGCATCCTACCATAAATCCTATAAAACGCTTATAAAAATAACACAAATGTCTTTCTCAGTCTACAAACAAGTAATATAATATTGTATTTATGTGTTTTCTTTTTCTTTTTTTAAAGACAAGATCTCGTTGTGTCATGAGCCTATGCCTTAACTTCTAGAGTAGCTGCAATTACAGGTGCATATCATACTATTGCACCCAGTTTCTTAGTTTGCGATGGAAAGAAAATCCCCGCCACCCACGTGGCCTCAGTCTGCTAAGTAGCAGAGTCCAGAATATACTACCACAGCTGGGCCAGCAAAATAATAATTTTTTAAGAGAAAATTTTGCTATAGTGCATGTGCTAGGGGGGATGGCCATGCTGCAATCCTTTCTCTTCCATTCTCCTTTTGGGATTTTGGGCATACACACATGCACCCAGCATGAGTTTTGAGCTGCCAGGCCTAGGACTCAAACCATAGTTGACTACCTGGAAGTCCAGTGACATAACCATTACACCATCTGCTGGTCCCAAATAATTTTTAACAAATGCATTGATTTACTACAATTTAAATAATGAATATTTTAGGCCTAAAGATATTAAATCTTATTATAAAAACATAGGAAATAAGCTACAGTCTTAAAAAATAAGAGTAGATGGGACCAGCAGTTGGTGTAATGGCTATGTTGCTGGACTCCCATGTAGTTGATCGTGATTCAAATTCTGGACCTGGTGGCTTAAACTCATGCCAGGTGTGTGTGTATGAGTGCCCAAGATCCTGAGAGAAGAATGGAGGAGAAGGGATTGCGACATGACCATCCCCCCTTTCCCCCCCCCCCCCCGGGAAGCAATTTCTCGCTTTGTGTCTCTCTGTCTCTCTCTGTCTTTCTGGTGAGCGCACATGCCCTATAGCAAAAACCTGTCCAAAGGAAAAAAAAAATAGCACAAAAGTAAGGGTAGATGAATTACATAAATGTATTATGATTCCATAATAAAAATGGATTTCTTTAGTCATACTAAAGCGTCATAAAAATAATAAGAATAATAAGTGCAAATTTGAAAAGTTAATAAGAATAGTAAATGTTAAGTTTATAGTTCTGAATAGCCTCTATATCTATGCCCATTTATGTAATATACATAAATAACATATTGTGCATGCAGATATGTTTGTATATGCATATGTATATCTATATATTTTATATCTGTCGAGAAAGGTTACACCTAACTTTTTTTTTCCTCCAAGTTTTTAACCATATGGTATGTGTGCCTGCCAGAGGGACACAGAGAGAGAGGGAAAGTGAGAAATTACCCCCCACCCCGACCCACAGGGGGATACAGCCATGCTGCAATCCGTTTTCCTCCATTCTCCTCCTGGGGTTTTGGGCATACATGCCTGGCATGATTTTTAAGCCACCAGGTCTGGGACTTGAACCCCTTTCAGCCATGTGGGAATCCAGCACCTTAACCACCACTCTACCTGTTCCCCCCTACCTAATGCTTTTATCATTGCTTTCTTTTTGTGAAAAGGATTAGGAATTTGAGATGGGAAAAGACAAATACTTTTTACTATTTCAGGTACTCTTTTTCATATCTTTTGCAATTTTTTTCTTATTTTTTATCATATGCATAAGTTCCTTTTTCAATTAAAATACTAGCTAATAAAATTTAATACTGGGAGAAAATTTTTAAGTAATGATGGGAGAAATTTTCACATAGGCAAGATAATGGTGACTATTTAAATAGGAATCTGCCACACACCTTCCAAAAACTATACAGAACCAGAGAAGATAAATAAAAGTATACAAATACTACTCTTTCTTTTTTATTTATTTATTTTCATTCATTTATTTTTTTTTCCATTTTCCCACAAACTTTTACTTTACTTATCAAGAAATTTTAGCTCCTACTCCATTGTTCTTGACAGTTAATGAACAACTTTCAAAATTTTAAAATACTGAATTTTAAAGATAATGTTCAAAACGTTTCTTGTAATTTTGTATAATTTTGTTTGTGAACCAATACTGCCCTTTCAATGTAACCAATAAAACAGTAAATAGGACAAACTTTCAATTTTCTGTGAGTGCAAAAATAAATAACATTTTTCAGCAAAGCTGTTCCTTAAGCTATTGCCTCAAAGTTCTTGTGGAAAGCTGGTATATATTAATATATTTATTTTTCAAAAATGGCATTATACCATCTATATGCTGTAAACTGCTTAAAAATATCTGGCAAAACTTTATAAAAGAGAGAAGAGGGGACAAAGGAACTAAAGATTGACCTAATCCTCCACAGAAGGGGAAAGTACATCCTAAAATATAGAAAATTTTTTTTTTAGAAACCAGAGCATTTAAAATGCGCAGGTTTTAAAGTGACAGTATCAGAAAAACCTTTGGGAGGGACAGAAAAAAAGACATGATCCTTCTCTGTAGAAAATTTAGCATTCAAAAAGTCAATATGAAAAGTCTGAGGTTGAAAAATATTTAAAATATAAGGACTGGAAATCACTTACATTTAGCAAAAGATATAAATAAGACTGCAGATTTAAGAAATTCATCAGTGACTATTTTGTGCCTCTTATGTTTTTCTTTTTGAATTGGAATATTTATTGTGACTACCCTGTCCCTGTTCAGTTGCGAGCTGCTTGTTTATGAGACAGCTAGCTATACTGCCTTCTTCATTTCTAGGTTTCTGAATCCAGAGGCCCTGAATCCATACCTACTGTACAGGTTTCCATTATGATACTGTGTTTGGATAAAACCTGTGAGGTTCCCAGTACAAGGATGAGCACATTCTCATACAGGAGGACCATGAATAATTCTCGCCAGCTAGTGGACTTGAGGTAGACTGGATTAGTGACTTGCTATGCTCTGAATGCTTGTGTCCCTCAAATTTACATGTTAAAATCCTAATTCCCAAATTGATGGTATTAGATGTGGGGCTTTTCAGGATTTGTTTAGGCTCTGCTTTCACGAATGGGACTAGTGTTCTTGCAAAAGGAGGTGCTAGAAGGCTGCCTTGCCCCTTTCTCCATGTAAGGACACAGCAAGAAGTCAGCAGTCTGCAACCTGGAAGATGGCCTTCACTAGCACCTGACCATGCTGGTACTCTGATTTTGAACTTCCCAGCCTCCAGAACTAGGAGAAATAAATTGCTGTGGTTTATAAGTTAAAAAAAAAAAAAAAGAAAGAAAGAAAATCACTAAACCTCAAACAAAAGAAAAATAGAAAAAACTCAATGACAGAAACATCAGTATATCAGTATCATAGTTGAATTTCTGAAGACCAAAGACAACAACAATCATAGGAAAATCTTCAAAGCAATTTGTTGGGAGTGGGGGATGGGGCAGAATGTGGTACAGAGGTGAAGTGCAGTGCTCTATAAGGCACCCACATGGGAAGGTTCCTGGTTCAAGTCCAGAGGCTTCCCTGAATATAAAGCACACACTTGCCTGTGATTCTGGGCTAGCTGAACACTGGGAAGTGGGTTGTGGAGTCAAGAACTAATAAGGGGTGTTGTCTCTCGGTCTGTCTCCTCTCTCTCTCACGCACACTCAGAAGAAGTGAATAAATAAATTTAAAAGTAGTGAGAGAAAAATGACTTATTTATAAGGGTAAAACAATTCAAATGACAGTGTATTTCTCATCAGAAACCATTGAGGCTGGAAATAAATGACACATTTTTCAAGCAATAGAAGAGAACTGTCAGCCCAGAATCAGACTGACAAGACCTAGCAAAAAATATACTTCAAGAAGGAAGGTGAAATCAAGTCAGTCCCTGAAAATGAAACAAACAAAAAATTGTCTTTGGCAGATCAACCCTCAAAAAATAGGTGGCACACTTCCTTTATACAAACTAGAAAAACTAAAAGGAATCTTGGATAATTAGGAAGGAAGAATGAGCAATAGAAGTAAAAATTTCAATGAAATACAATGGAATTTCCTTCTCATTAGTTTTCAAAATATTATTTGATAGTGGAAACAAAACTTAGAATACTATCTGATGTAATTTTCCCTCCCCCCAATTTTTTTTCTTGCTGCCACTATGCTACTGCCTGGCCTCCCAAGGGAGGAAAGTACTTGGTAATTTTTCTACTTCCCATGAGCACTTAGATAATATATGAGGATCCACAGAGAGAGAAATATCTTATAGCTATTTCCTAGAGTTTTTAGTTATTCCCAAGTACCAATAGTGGGTTTGTAACTACTTCAATGAATGGTAGGCCTTTTTTTTTTTTTTTTTTTTTTTTAATTCCTGTGTGACGACATAGCTTTCAGATGACTCCATGAAATGAGGCTAGTGGTAAAACAATGTGATTGTCAGGAGATGACAGCTGGTGTTTTTTTGTTTTTGTTTTTGGTTTTTTTTTTTGAGAAGTTTTTGCTATAGGGTGCGTGCGCTCGCCAGACAGACAGAGAGAGACAGAGAGACAGAAAGTGAGAAATCACCCCCCAGAGGGGATGGTCACGCCGCAATCCCTTCTCCCCCATTCTCCTCTCGGGATCTTGGGCTCGCACGCACACGCACCCGGCGTGAGTTCTAAGCCACGGGGTCCGGGACGTGAACCGCAGTAGACTACGTGGGAATCCAGCAACATATCCATTACGCTAACTGCTGGTTCCCAACAGCTGATCTTCATGGTAATCGAGACCAACTATGGTAACATCTTTCGATACATCATTTGATATTGTGAGATGTCTTGTATGTGTATGTGCATGTATGGGTGTGTGTGTTT